TTTTCCCTCAAACTCCCATAGGATGTACAAAGTCCAATGTTGGTTATGATCAACAACTAACTAGCATCATCCTAATTTATTTAGACTCGGGACAATGTGCATGATGAACATGTGGGAGGGAGCTAAACCCTGTAGATTGATATTAAACATGAGCATGACACAAAGTGGAGCTTGGTTATCTTGAATTTGATCATTGAAGCTATGGAACTGGAAAGATTGCCTCCCTTCTTGTCTGCTTTTCTGTTTGGATGATGTTATTGGCACTCCGAAAAAGAAAAAAAAATCACATGTGCTTTGGGGTTACCCTAAAAGAGATTGAACTTTTGATTAATTCTAATTCAAACTCATTTTCCTTCTTTTGATCCAACTTTTGATGCTCTCAAGCCATCCTGCTTAAGTTCTAAGTATATAGTTTCGTCCCCTTGGAGACAAAGTTTGAGAGAATTGTTCTAAAAAATTTTGGGTGCTTTCCTTCTCAGCATGCTTTTTGAAGAAGTTAGAAATCTAAAACATCCGGGTGAGGCAATCAACACATTAATTTGAGTGCCATATAGTGTAGCTAGCCTTGTCTTATTGAATCATTTATGGAGACAGAAATGACTCGCCCAGGTATTTTCATTTAAAAGTTGTGTGGGACAAATTGCATCAATGCTATCAGCTGCTCTGCTAGTGCTGTGCTGAAAGACTATTTCCCAGATATGAGGTTTGGACAACCACTGTTGTTTCACAATACAAAATACATTCAGCATCTATTCGTTAAAAACGACCCGAATGGAGAATAAACCTGGCTGCATTTCTCAACACTGACTTTATCAATAATAACTCTTGTATTTTTTTCGTGTCTTCGTAGGTTTACAAATCATATTGAACAAACAAGGAAAAAAAAACGGAAACTACATCCACGCGTCAACAGAAACTCATAGAATGCATTGCAACTACGAAAACAGATTATGCCTTTGCTTTTCCAGCCTGGAGAGATTGAGCCCTCTGTTGTAATTTTAACATCTGCACGACAACATATCCAATGGAAGCAATTAATATTGAAATATATGTCTACATTGGTTAAGAAGGGTGTTAACTTGTAGTTATGACCCTCTGCAGAGTACACCCTAGTCAACTTCAATACAAGAAGGTGAAAGGAGAGGCACAAAACCAATGCAACAATTTAATTGTACACTTTCTGAAATTAATTCTTCAAATACTAAATACTATAGATATATTGCCACAACCCAATCAAAGTCGAGGCTGTACGAAACGGCTATGGCATTATACGAGAGCATTTAAGATACACAGAAACAAGGAAGAATACAAACCGTTTCTTTCTTGCTATTTTGCTTCTCGTCCAAATCTTGAAGAGTAGTATCAAGCCGCTTCCTGTTGCACAGAATAAATACCAGTTTCAGTGTCAAACATATGCGACAAGTTTCGCATGAATATGATTATGATGATCAAGAAAAAGATGGGGAAAAAAATTTGAGATATCTATGGTCTAGAAAAGCATATAACTGGTATGAGATCCATCTAACAATTCCCACGATAAAGGTTTCTCAAGATAAGCTTATGCACAGAATACACAGCTTCAGAGAAAGACATACCAAAACCTGGTTATAATTGGACTCAATACCCAATTTATTCATTCCTCTCCACTTTTTTGGGATTTAACCAAACAATCCTGTTTCTTTAGATATTTCTTAGGCCCACAATCACATATATGACGGTAATAGGCATATGAATACAATGAACATCCTCTTATGAAATAACGGACATCCTTCACAGAAATGTGAACATAACTCATTCCAAAGAACAGAGGCCTCTACACATCATTTTGTGAAAACTCAGAACTAGTACGTCTTGCTTAAGCAATTCAACATCCATGAAATTGATAGCTATTAGCTACAATTACAAAAACTTTGTTCTAAAGAATTGGTTTTTGAGAATGCACCCTTGGTCCTTCCCCATCTGGTGGGGAGAAATTTGCCCTCAAAGAAGTTTGTTGATGGTCTGGCATTTATACAACATATCATAAATCGTATATATTTGATACGGAAACAGTGTTCCATATGCAGTTTCAGAAAAGAAAAAGCTTTAGTTAGATTCATTACGTTCCATTTAAAATTTTCACTTTCCAGCATTAAGATCAATGATCAAGGCCTATCATTTAACATAGATTAGTTACAATTTTAAATTTACCAAAAAATAATCAAATTGGTTTTACCAATTTCAACATTCGATCTAAACTCTCACTTTTCTCACAACATTCTGAAACTGTTCCCACAATCTAGGTTAAATAACTTCTGTAAATTTGATCTATCGTACAATTTTTTTATAACTCCGACACTGAACCGCATTATTGAAGTTAAGAAACCCAACAACAATAATCCATAAAATTAAAATTTGAAATGATAAACTAAACTGGTGCAGAGTACATATATAAACAAATGAAACAGAAGCATACAGTTCGGCAGAGATGTATTCGATTCTCTTGCGCACATTGGCCCTAGCCTCTGCCAAATCCTGCTTCACAAGAACCGGACCGATCAATTTGAAAACATTGGCGTCTTCGCTGAGGAGATCCAATTCCTACAAACATAAGCAATAATATTTGTATTCGATCAAATAGTAAATCACTAACCAAATAACCATGAGATTATTAACACTACAACAAAGCCCACTAGCTTCCAACTAAATGAAAATTTTGCATATATATCAGATATCAGGTAGTCAATTTAGCAGAAAAGCACTTCAAGTATTCTGAAAAAAGAAAAAAGCTATTTAAATGAAACTTCGCGTCTCAGCTTATGTCAAATTCATAACAAGAGCTGACTTTGTTTTCCCGGTAACCAAACAGAAAATAGAGAAAGCACAATCGAGACAAAAGGTGACCTTGAGAACAAGCTCGTTCTCGCCCAGCTGAATAGTGTACTTCTTTCTCACTTGATGATTCTTTGAAATATCTGAAAGAGCAAATGCCATGTTAGGGTTTTTAACATATTCAAGTATAAGTGTATATACATACAGCTACGGCTTGCCTTTTTGGATTTTGCTGAGATCGTTAGCTTTGGCCTCCAATTCGCGCTGAAGCTCCCGAAGAGCTGACGACGACGCCATTGCTTTTGCTGCTGTTGTTACTTGTATTCCTTCGTCTTCGGATCAGTCGCAGCTTAGGTCTGTCTCCCTTTTCCCTGGTCTCTTTCTGTTGGGCCTTAATTCAATTTCTTAAGTTCTTTAAGTCCAGATCTTGGGCTTGCCTACTTTAAAAGTGTTGGTTAACATTAGGCCCACTTTAATATATATATATATATATATATATGAGAGCATCCATGGAGAGGTGTAAGTGCGATCTACCCGTATCATTTTAATTTTCGTCCTCATTGAGTCATTGTTGTTGCACATAAAATTTGGCCGACATTTCATTTATGTGTATATATATATATATATATATTACAATGGCAAGGGTTGAGCTTTTAAAATTAGATTAATCTTAATTCATTTTTTCACCCACTCTCGTAAAGCTACTCCTCCTTACCCTAGCAAAGAAAAAAACCCTCTCTCCCAAAAAACCCTCCTAGAGCCGTTTTCACTTTGAGGGGGAAGGAGACCCTTGTTCTTCCTCTCATCTCCCCTCTTTCTCTTCCTCCCTCTCTTCTTCATAGACAAATGGTTTTCTCTCATAGGTGATTGTGATTTGTTCTGATTTTCCTCCAATCATCATAGGTGATTGCGTCTCATCGTTGGATCTCTACCTGCGTTTTGACGTCGGATCTCTATCACCATCTTTTTTGTGGTTTTTTTATGTTCGGAATAAGTCACAAAGACTCTGTAGGTTCTCTGTGAGTTTTCACCTCTCCTTTTGTGAGAGGTTTTCACCTCTCCTTTGTGAGAGCTTTTTATCTCTCCTTTGTGAGAGTTTTATTTGTATTGTTATGGCTTGGTTTTTTCAAGCTTTGTCTATTTTTGATTATTCTGAGTTTGCAATCTTAGTTGGGATGCCTATGCTAGAGTTTATTCGATCTTGCGTGATCGTTAGTAGAGGCGCACCAGATTGTCTTCATTTTGTTGTTCGACCACTCCATTATTGTAATCGCCATTTATGGCTAGTTTGTTTTGGCCCCTTGTGGCTAATGACTTTTTTGGCTGAATTATGAATGCAATCCTAGAAAAACAAAAAAAAAAAAAAAAAAAAAAAAAAAAAACTACCCCTCCTAGCAAAGTTGTCATAGAGATAATTCGACAACATGCCTAAAAGAGGTTGACACAAACAGGGACGGATCCAGGAATTGCAAATCGGGTGGGCTAAATTTACCTTAACTACAAATGTATTAAGAAAATTTGGTGAGTTTTGTGGATTTTGGTTGGTTTTTGTAGATTTTTAGTCTTGGACAATAAATTTTAGGAACTAAAAACTAGAGGTAACCCACAGGGGTGGCTAAATTTTTTTTTTGGGTAAATCATAAGCCCTAGTTTGTTATATTTTTATTTTATATAAGCACTTTTTTTCAATATATTTTCTTCATCATATTTAGAACTTTTTGTTATTATACGACATTTGAAATAGAGAAAATGTTGGAATTATTGATAATATTGTTGAAATATTTTGAAGGGATTGAAGGGAAACAAAGAAAGAAAAAAAAGAAGAAGATATTTATAAGGAATTGAAGTTAAAAAAGAAAGTAATAATAAAATAAAAACATCCCATTTTGTGAGGCAGTGCACCTAACAAAATAAAAACACATCTCATCCCAACACATATCTTCCCCCTCTCTCTTTTTATATTTTCTCGTCTCTCTCTTTTTTAATCTTTCCCTCTCTTTCTCTCTCTCTCCCTCTCCCTCTGTCTTTATTCTTTTTCCTTCTTCCTCTCTTCTTCTTTTCTTTCTTCTCCCTTCGTCTGCTCCATCTCTCTGTTCTTTCTTCTTGCAGCTTTGGGATGGGCTATCTCCATTAAGTTTTTTTTTTCTTAAGAATACTATATGGTATTACAAATACAAAAAAATTTTCGTATGGGCTGTAGCCCAGACAGCCCACTATGTGGATCCGTCCCTGGACACAAACCAGGGGTAGCTAGGGGAGGAGGCCTACGAGCTTTCGTCTTGCCCTTACAAGCAAATGTTCATGGATCCAATATTGTAAGTAGGTATATATTCAAATGGAAATATGTTTGTATTTCTAAACCATGGATCTGGGTCATTTATATGTTGACCTCAAAATCTTTTCGGTCAACTAGGATGATTATTTCAAATAAAATAATCATTAGGCTGAGCGGATTTGGGAACAAAGTTGTCCTTCTTTGGTGTGAGCGATATGTGCAGCATGCCAGCCTCAGCTGTAAGGGTCGTTGACGACCATGAAATCGAAGAGAGTGATATGGTGGTGTGCGTCTTGAATTTCACTTCGTCAAACGATTTGGGCCAAGTTAGGAACCATTTCTCGACCACTGGGTCCTTAGCCTTGGTGACGAGGCTACTTGTGTTGTGTCGTGCTCGGTGGGGTTATGCTTGGTGGTCAAGTGATCTCTCAAGTCCTCTTTGAATCAAATCGAAACAAAGAAATGAAAATTCTGACGAGCAAAGCTGTTTGTTAATATATTAAATGGACGACTACAATGATGATGATGCTACATTGAATCTGGGCCGTAGACTTGGGCCTGGGTTAGACCTGGGCTAGTCCGTTTTTTTCACAGTCATGGGCCTCGTAGGTCTGGCCCTTTGTCTTTTTACTTTAGGCATTAGTTTCTAGGCCCAAAATCTTGGCTCAATGGGCCCTTGCCACTTCATTTCTCCTTGTGAAGCTAGGTGGAAAAATTTAGGTATATACATTATTATCAAGATAAAATGTTAAATCATATATAAATATGTAGCCTAAATTCACATCAAACAAACAAAGGAACTTAACTTTATATCCAAAACACAAGTTTATCAAACAAAACAACCTACCTTATATTCAAAATACTCGGAACTTAAGCTTGCGAAGGAAGACTTAAAACAACCTACTTTCTTCTTTTTTTGGGGCCAAGTAAATAAACTCACGAGTGCTTGAAGACTGTCAAAGTACCATGAAATGGCGGAACGTCAGGGGCCCGCCGCAAGACCGCGATTCTCAAAACACGGCATCACAATTAATATAATAATTATATCCTCAATAATTTAAAAACATATCCAGGTGGGAACGGTAGGACGACTTTTTTTCTATTTTCTTTTCTCTTCTGTAATTCCAAAAATAAAGAAAGTTGGAGCCCTGCTCTGCTCTTTATGTCAAATTAATCATATCAAAGTAAAACTTTGATTAAATAAAGTAAATCCTTCTTATTAGCTAAAGAATAAAGACGATTGAACTGGAATCTTTTGGATAAAAGGACACTCTCACTCCCCTCTCTCCTCTGTCCCTATAAACTCAGTAGAGAGAGTGAGAGTGCGAGAGAGAGAGAGAGAGAGTTAGTGAGAGAGTATTTGGCTAAGAAAATGGCTCGGAGCTCCACATTCCCCAAATGGGTCTTACCGATTATGCTTCTTCTTGGCTGTTTGGCTACTAAAATCTCAGCAGAAGATGGTACGCTTTCTGGGTTCCCTGTCTCTCATTTTCTTTCTCAGTGTTTGAAAACATTTGCTGCTCTCTCTTTCTGTTTGCGTTTCAAAATTACTTTATTTTCGCCAAGAAGATTACTTCTTTCTTTGTTGGTGCGTTTCAGTATGTTTGTTTTTCTGTCCAACTGCTGAGATGAGATCTGATTAATAATACTCCAGTCCCAAACTGGTAATGAAAGATTAGCTCTTGCTTAGTAATTAGGCTATTAGCTTTCATGGGTTCGGATTTGATTTGCAATTTTCTTGCTTTGTTTTTCTGCATTTTCTCAGTTTCTTGAAGCTTTTTGCCTGCAATTTTCTTCTTGAAGCTTTCTGTCATTCAAAGCTTCCATTTTAAATGTGGTAATGTATTAAAATTTATGGTATTTTGCTAATTCCGAGCATTTCAATCACACTATTTGCCAAGGCTCTTGGTTTTCATCCTTTTTTTGCTCTGACATTCATGGGTCCGTTTGAAAATTTCCCATCAAAACATGTATTCTCTGTCTTGATGTAAATTTCACCAGTTGCCACCGTGAATTTTTGGTAAATTCTAAACCCAAAATGAAGAATAAAACTTTTGGTAAATTAATAAATAAATATAATTACTGTGAAGAAAAACTATAGGTGCGTAAAAAAAATTGAAGCTCAAGGGGCCCCCCAAAGCTAGTTACCCTTTGGTCCGTCCTAATAGTTGGGTAAAAATGTAAAAATGACCTAAGTGGACACAAATCTTCGCGCCAAATGCCTGGCTCTTTTTCTGCCAACATACAAAAGGACAAAGCCCCTTTCCGTAAAGGTGACTGACCCTATGACATAGTTTACACTTTGTCCTTTAGATCACCACCACCCCATTCGCCGGCCACATGGTGTTTGGTGCACGTAAAAATACGGAGCTGTAGGGTCCACGCGTTCATATTAGGTTTTTATTTTTCACTTTTATTTTTATTTTTATTGCTTTTCTCTACTTGTTTTTATTTATTTATAAATTTTATTATTCTTAATTTGAAATGATTATGGGCTTACAAACATTTGAGGCCCAGGCATGGATAAGGTTATCCAAGATTGGAACTTGGATTGGATAGATCTTTTTGCTCGCTCTCTGGTAATTTTGGGAAACTGGAGCAACACAAAATTGAAGACAAAAAAACAGAAGAGCAAATGGTCGATTTATTTCCGAAAACAAAAACGAAAGCATTTTAATATTTTTGGAATTGAAAACAACACCTTGAGATTGACAATTTTTTCTCAACTTGTTTGATATAATTAATTTCTAAAGGGGAAAATATCACTAGCCGAATCAATTTTGTCATTGAGTGGCCAGTTTTTTCCCCACTGTCATGTCATGATACAACATATCTGACTGTTTTGTTGTAGCGTTGCTTCACATTTGAGTTGTGAGATCTGGAGGACCATTTCTTGACCATAGAGCATGCACGGCTAAATCTTAATAATTCATGGCCTGGCCCTCTTTTGCGATAGGAGAAAAGCCAAGGCAAAAGAATTTTCAGCCTTTGTATGACCATGACACAAGAATTCTCTAACTGATTAAGAACAGTTACCTTTGTATTTGAGATTATGTGTTCGAATTCCTCTTTCTAATATATTGCTTGGGTAAAAAATACAATAATTCAAACACAGAATTTTAAGTGTAAAATAGCTACTCTTAAACCACTTTAGCGGTAAGCTCATAATAATAATTGCGCACACAAAAAATATACTATTAATTGAATAATACAATTCTTACTATATTTGTATACCACATTATGTGACAGTTGAAGTGGACAGTCATATCCATTAAATTTATTAAACTTCTTTTATTCATTTATTTCAGTATTTGTTAATTGATGTGTCATATGAAGTGTCACATTATGTGATATATAGAAATGTGGAATAAAAATTATGATAAATGTGTCATTACTCAATTTAATTAGGTAAACACTAATCCTTACAATTTTATGATGGGGCAGGGCCAGTGCCAAATGGTGATTTTGAATTGACCCCATCTGGCGGCTTTTCAAACGAGGCTATAGTAGATGGGCCCGCGGGGATCCCCAGCTGGAAATCAAACGGCACCGTTGAGCTCGTGGAGTCGGGGCAGAAACAGGGTGGGATGATCCTCATCGTACCTCAAGGTAGACACGCAGTGAGGCTGGGAAACGACGCCGAAATAAGCCAGCAAGTGAAGGTGGAGAAAGGCTCCATCTACTCCGTCACGTTCAGTGCGGCTCGTACGTGCGCACAGCTGGAGTCGTTGAACGTGTCAGTGCCACCTGCATCGCAGACGATAGACCTGCAGACCTTGTACAACGTGCAAGGGTGGGACCCTTACGCGTGGGCTTTCGCGGCTGAGGAGGATGATGCGATGTTGGTCTTCAGGAATCCCGGTATGGAAGATGACCCCACCTGTGGGCCCATCATTGATGATGTTGCTATCAAGAAGCTCTTTACCCCGGATAGGCCCAAAGGTAAAAATTATTTTCCTCTCACTTGTCTTGACTTCTTCAATTCAAACCGTATGGGCCCATTAGCTAATTTGGTGAAGTACTAATTTTCTATGAGTGGGTAAAATTATTTGACGCTTTTGACCTTTGACCACCTAATCAAATAAATGAGGATTTATAAATTGTCCCAACTAAAGAGTTACTATTTATGAACTTCAAGTTTAGGGTATGGGGCCTTGTCAATTTCATTATTGAATAATTAAATTATCATATAAATGTATAATTTATATTCACAGTCTAACTACATAACATCAATCAATGTTGGGTTTTGAAACTCGGCCCAAGGTACACACAAAAAATGGTATACGATTTCATGTTACTAAAAAGTGAGTATTTGCCATATTTTGTGCAGACAACGCAGTGATCAATGGTGATTTTGAGGAAGGTCCATGGATGTTCGCAAACATCTCGCTAGGGGTGCTGCTTCCCACCAACCTCGACGAAGAAACATCCTCGTTACCCGGTTGGATCGTCGAGTCCAACCGTGCTGTTCGGTACATCGACTCCTACCATTTCACCGTGCCGCAAGGCAAGCGAGCCATAGAATTGCTATCTGGGAAGGAAGGCATTATTTCCCAAATGGTTGAAACTTCCCCAAACAAGCCATACACCCTAACCTTCTCTTTAGGTCATGCTAATGACAAATGCAAGCAGCCTCTTGCTGTCATGGCCTTTGCTGGGGACCAAGCCCAAAATGTCCATTATACCCCTAATTCCAACAGCACATTCCAAAGCGCCAATGTGAATTTCACGGCCAGAGCTGAGAGGACAAGGATTGCATTCTACAGTGTGTATTATAACACAAGGACTGATGACATGAGCTCGCTATGTGGGCCTGTGGTGGATGATGTCAGGGTTTGGTTTTCTGGGTCTTGGAGAAATGGGTTTGGAGGATTGAGAAGCATGACATTTGGGCTTGCTTTTTGGGTGCTTGTTTGGGTTTTGGCTTAGGGTTAGGGGTTTGTTTGTTTGGCTACAGAGCTTATCATATGTAACGTTTTGGTTTTAGTACGTCTAGCATGGGATTGTTGCAAACAATTGTCCCAAGTACCATAAGTTGTATGTTGTCTTTTGCTTTTATAATTTTGCCATAAGAATGTGAATGTCTTTTCCTTTATTCAATATTTGTAATGGTGAAGGCACGCATAGGCTTCTAAAAGCAAAGCTTTAGCGGCACAACATTTATGCCAAGATCCGCTAATAGAGTTATGGTTCTTGCCCTACATGTGGTGCCCACGTGTATATTCATAATAATGAGGTATCTACGTGTGTATTCATATACGGTCGAATGACCAAAATCAAAATCAAAATAAAAAATATGTAAATCAGGCCACCTAAAAGAAAAAACATTATGAGCTCAATGAATGCAATAAAGTGAAGCTAAAAACAAATCAGAATGTAAGCTTTGCTAATATCCTCAATATCTTACCCCAAAAGTTAATGAACTTTTTACCACTTTTCATAATCGCATTTCACAGGGATTCGTTTGAACATGAGAGGTGATATGCATCTAAAGCTCACCTTTATTATTCAAGATGAGAATCACCATCTAAAATGGTGTGAAATACAAGTTTTGTTCCTTAAAAAATCTTCATCAATTCGTATCTGACGGTAAAATTAGACTGCTACCAAAAAGTTGAAATCCTATCAACTCATAAACTAATAATCAATAAATAATGAAAAATAATAAACTTCTTTTGCATATGAAATAGATTTGTTTTCCACTAAGTAAACCACTTAAAATGACTACACTCATGATGCTGACAATCCATTTTAATGGGTAGTCTATAAAAACCAAATAAATGGACTGAGATCTTCTTTGTAAATCCTCAAAGAAACCTTGATATGCCCTGACTTTGGAATAGAGTAGCCTCCTCCCCTGCCCCCCACCCCCAAACTGTTATTATTCAAATAACATGTACGCAACTGACATATATGAATTGAAATTTTCTTCGAACATTAAACAACTATAGGGATAAAATAGTTAAAATCAAAATTATCTGAACTTTGGTGAAAATTAACAGAACTACATGAGCTATTTTTGTAATTTACCTAATGAAAATATTGAAGTGCCCGAAATGACCTCAATGTCCTCGGCGGACGTCTTGCTCTTGCAATTCTATTTAACGGAAAGGAGAAGCAACCAGAAATTAGGAGAAGAAAGAAAGAGCGCGGACCTGCCTTCGCTTTTGAAACCTTTGAAGGTTCTCTCCTCTCCTCCTCTTTGTTCTTTCATAAAATGGAAGGCGAAGAGGGGTCCACCGTAACCGTCGCCGCCCCCACCGCCACCGTCGTCATCAGAAGCACCGACTCGCCCCCGCCTTCTCCGACGGACGGTTCTGATGTCTCACCCGTTGGATCTCCCGATCGCGCCTCCCCCGAGATTCAACCACAGCCTTCCGACGATGACCCTGATCAATCGTCTGGGACCGGCGGTCTCTCCGATGACCTCAAACAGAAAATTATTAAGCAGGTAAGATCTCTCTGTCTCTGTCTCTGAAAATGTGGATAATGAACCCTAGGAGCTTAATATCTGTTTGCATTTAAAAGGATATATGATTTGGAGCTGATATTCTGAGGTTCGAAGAAATTTGTATTCTGTGTTTTATTGATTATGAACCCTAGAATCGCATGCTCCCTCCCGAATGGTTGAGTAGCTTTAGGATTTTTTGAAATCATGTTCCAAGTTTGTATTTGTTTTCATCTGTATTCGAGAACCCGTCTAACAATGGTAAAAGAAATTACCAAAGTTATTTCGGAGACAAGTTGCTTTTATGTGATTATGCATGCGATAAGTGAATTTGAATTCAGTGGTTATTTGAATGCACTTTTTAAAGCAATTTTATGTGCTAATTTTCTGGTAAAGAAAGTAATGTGCTACTTTATTTACTCACATTGTTAACCAACCGTTGCACTTATGAAAACCTAAGAGAGGGGTTAGATTAGAAGCTTGGGACCGCAGGGGAGAGAATAACGAGTACTTTCAGTGTTGTTGCTCTCGAGCCGAGTCTGAAGTTTGACTCATGCCAAGCTTTAATCAAATGGGGAGGTTAAAGTTTGATTAGTAAATAAAGATAAGAGACTATTTGAATTAAAAGTGAAGGGAGAACAAAAATGAATTATTTGTCATTGACATTGTAACTAATTAATGATGTATTAAATCAAAATTGTCATGTAATTCTTTTTTATTTATTTAATGTTCTTTGTGGTTTTGCAGGTGGAATATTATTTCAGTGATGAAAATTTGCCCTCTGACAAGCATATGTTAAGTTTGATTAAGAAGAACAAAGAAGGTTTTGGTGAGTAGTTGGTGTTTTTATTCAACGTAGTTTTTAGGAGTATGATGTTTTGTACAGAACTGAAACTTGCATATCTTTTCGTCTGATCTGATATCCCCCTTACATTATACCAATCTTTCCCGTGTCCCACAAGTGGCTACTTAATTTTTAACTAATCTTTCCCTATGCGTTTTAATTGTTATTGCTAGTTTATTAGTTTTGTGGGGTGCTTAAATTGTACAGTGTCAATTATGTTAATATTATCTGGCAATAGTAGAGTAGAGAAGATGAAGGTGATGAGTAAAGCAGGTACTTCTGACATGTTGCCTTGCCTTGGTGTTTTCCTGGTGCAGCTAGATTTAGCTGTGCCGAGCATCTGTGGTTGGTTTTGAATGACTATGCAACTTACTGCTGACTGATTCCTTCTCTATTCATCAAATTCTATTGCGAGAGCAGTTTTCGGAATTAGAAACTGATTCATTCCATTGGTTATTCCTTTTTTTTCAATTTAGTGTAATCTTGTTGATTTATCTTTTCTGAGATAAGGGGGTGATTGCTCCTCTAGTAGCAGCAATATGAGAACTGGCCCTCTTCTCTTTCAGACTTCCTTATCTCATTCCTCCATGTTTGTTTGTGTGTGAGAAATCTTTTTAATACAACTAGCTGCAAACCTGTGTGTTGCACTGGTGTTTTGTATTGATCAATTTGTTTGTTATGTGGTGTTCAAAAATCTTAATTTTAACAACAAAACTTGGTTGTCTCCTTTCCTCTATCTAGTAATATTTATTTTGTTTTGTAACAATGCGCTAACTTTTGGACATATCTTCTTGCAGTTCCTATTTCAGTTATTGCTTCTTTTAGAAAAATGAAAAAGCTCATTCGAAACAATGCACTAATAGCGGCTGCATTAAGGGAGTCTTCCCTCCTTGTAATATTTCTTCTTTTGTTCTCTTGTAACAATGTAAGTGCCGGTGGGATGATGAACATACTAACATATAAGCATTAATTTGCCTTATTGTAGGTTGTGAGTTCGAATGGGAAGAAGCTAAAACGTCTTCATCCTCTTCCATTACCTGAAAACAGGGATGCAAAGGTATTCTGTGGAATTTCGTTTGTATATATGCATATGTTTTTTTGAATTTGGATGTATTGTTTTTAGAAATCTTTAAGCATCTGATTTTGGGCATTATAGTGCACTGTTTTGGTAGAGAACCTACCTGAGGATCATTCGGTGGAGAACCTTAAAAGAATATTTGGTGAAGCTGGAAAGTATGTTTTATTTTTTTTCCCTTTTCTTTTCGTGCTGTCAGATTACCGTTCTCTTCAATATATGATTAAGCGTACTTTTCAAATTTCCAGTATAAAAGATGTATGCATACTTGACCCCCATGCCATAGAAGCATCAACAAAAGGCGGCAAGGCTGAGAAGCTGATCAGTAATAAGGTATGGTTTTTAAAACATATGTGCATGCTAGTTATGAAATCTGGAGAAATGAGGAATCGATGAATGTCTTGGGTGTTTGTGATCGGGTGGTGAATGCCTTATGTTGAATGTGTGGGATGGTTACACCTAACTGTTTAGGTCTAATGGGATGGTTAAACCTACCACTGTCTTTATACTTTGATTGAGGTCTATTTTTCTGAACACATCATGAGATTTCTTGGCATCCTTTTGTAATGTGTCTGATTCTTTACTGCAGTTGCATGCTCTAGTGGAGTATGATACTGTGGAGGCTGCTGACAAAGCTGTAAGTATCTTGTTCTTTCCATCACCATCATCCATTTGCATTGGGCTTTATAGCTTAGGTATTTAGTCTTTACATTACAGTTTCTTTCCTGATGATTTGCATTAGGTCACAACCTTAAATAATGAGGAGGACTGGAGAAATGGCATGCGGGTGAAGCATCTTAAGCAAATGGTAAATGATTCTGTTATTCGTTTATTTAATTTTTTTTTAATTTTTTTTTAACATTTCGTTCAGGGCAAGAAGAGGAATTAATGTTTGTTTTATTTGCATCAGGGAAAGTACGGACAGAGAAAACAAGCCTGGAGGGGTTTTGACTCTGATAAGAGTAGTGGTAACAGAACTTCTGATCAAGCAGGAGGTGAGGAGAATCATAATGCAAGTGAGCATCATAATGATACTCGGACACCTGACGATGAGGTAAAGTGGTGTTGAATTCTCTCATGAGCAGTTGTTCATATTTACTTTCTACTGGAGTCCTTGATTTTATTTTATATTTTTCAAACTACTGGAGTTCTTGATTGAATTATGAACGTGTGATTTTCAGTTCTAAAGTTCTTTTTGCTTATGCCATTCTAGGATGGTGAGAGAGTCCCCAAGGAGAAAACTGGGCATAGAGGTCGAAATCGGGGCCAATCAGGAAGGCAAAAATACCGTGTCACCAATGGATTTGGTATGTTGCTGAGCTACTTTTTTGAATTGGTTCCTTTCCTTGGGCTAATCTAACTTAAACGTTTGATATTTTGTTCCTCCCTAGGTCACGGAACCAGTTCGGCTAATCATGGGATTGAACCTTCAAAGCCACCACCTGGCCCAAGAATGCCTGATGGAACCAGGGGATTCACAATGGGGCGTGGTCGGACTCAAAGCACCAACTCCAATCAGAGTTAGCAAGTGATTCGATTACCGGATCTTTGAGCGATTTTGTGTTTGACAACATTTTCCGATGTATGTGTGGTGTGTGTACTACTGGTGCTGGCGGGCTATGTGAATATTTCATCCATCGGTACACGAATTTCTGTTGAATTTTAGTTGGGTTTGTGAATGAAGCAAGTGTTAAGGTGGGTAAATGCAAAACCATTGTTGTCGTGTTGCACACTTTTCATTTTGGATCCATTCCAAACATGCAAGACAAATCAAAGATTGGGTGAATGTCTCCTAGTGTTCGAATCTATGACATCATATGTTCGAATCAAACGTTTACCTAATCCACTGGTAAATTGGCCGAGACTGAAACTAACACCATGATGCATTGGGATTGACAACTGGCCAAATAGAAAGGAAATTACACCTACAATAATTGAATTTCTTTTCTTCACGACAAAATAGATATAGAGACCACTAATATAATGTGAAATTTAAAGCAAGTGCCACGTCACTATTTTGTCCAATTGATATCTTATCATGAATTTAGTGGTTATGTGGAGGAGACAGATTGCATTTGAAGCCCTATTTAATTATATTTGTATTCTATAATTAAATGTTCTTTTAACAGTACAATTGTCTTGCATAACCAATTCAAATGGAATTTTTGGTTAACCAATTCGAGTATCAAAAAGTTGTGCATTTATAGCATGTTTACTAATTCGTAATTGGATTAGAAGGTATTGAATTGAGGATGAATTGAATTGAGGAGGAGTTGGATTGAGGAGAATTAGATTTCGGATTCTTATTGAAGTTGTTTACTAAATCATATGGATTAAGATGAGATAGATTCCGGATTCCTACTGAAGTTGTTTACTAAATAATATGGAATTGGGGTATGAGTGATACTAATTACTAAAATATCCTCATTGTTGGATTAAATCGAAGTTATAACGAAGAAGTTATGATCTACACAAGCTCAGTGGCATAATCGTCAATTTTTCGAAGTTCAGTTTAAAAAAAAAACCCAGATTTCTTCTTTTCCCTCATGGCCTCCACGAGCAGCCAATTTCAGACAAATATTTCTCCTCCGTCCAGCCACCAATTTCGACGCCACAACTTGCAAATTCTTCATCTCTCTCTCCTCTTTCCATAAATACCCATTTCCAGTCTTGATTCAAAGTGAATCAACCAAAAAATCGAGCCAAAGTTGAGCCCAAAAACGGGCTGTTTCGAAACCAGAAATTTCATGGGTTTTTCTAGCCAATTCCGGCCATCACCAACTGTGCTATCACACCCAAACCACTCACCTACCTTCCGTTTGCAATTTCCCTCAAAGATTCGACCCAATTTCAAGTACAAATTTTCAAATCCTAACCCAAAATTTTGTAGATTTTTCAAAGACAAAATCGTTATTTCGAGGGCTTTAAGGGTGAAATTGATCTTCGAACCAAGGTATAAAGTTACTTCCCTTGATGTGCTTTGTCACATCCCAAGATCGGCTTCGCCGTAGCACGATATTGTCCGCTTTGGGCCCTCCTATTTGCCATCACGGTTTTGTTTCTGTGAGCTCACGAGCAATTTCACAATGGGTCACCCATCCTGAGATTGCTCTAGCCCGAACTCGCTTAATTTTGGAGTTCCCATGACTCCAAAACCAGTGAGGTCCCAAAAGGCTTCGTGCAAGATGGAGGTGGGCATGTACATATAAGGCACATCACCCCATCTCCTTTGGTCGATGTGAGATGTTACAATCCACCCCTCTTAAGGGCCCGACGTCCTTGTCGGCACACTCGCACCACACGGCAGAGCGGCTCTGATACCAAATTGTCACATCCTGGGATCGACTCCGCCGTATCACGATATTGTCCGCTTTAGGCCCTTCTCTCTGCCCGCACGGTTATGTTTCTGGGAGCTCATGAGCAACTTCCCAGTGGGTCACCCATCCTGGGATTGCTCTAGCCCCAACTCGCTTAACTTCAGAGTTCTCATGACTCCAAAGCCAGTGAGCTCCCAAAAGGCCTCGTGCTAGATGGAGGTGGGCATGTACATATAAAGCACATCACCCCATCTCCGTTAGTCGATGTGAGATGTTACATGCTTGATATGTAGGTATAAATATTGGTCAACGGTTTGGAGTTTTTTTATCGCCGAAAAATTTATCTACACACTAGCTGCCACCAGTTGCGCATCGGCAGGGTGTCAATGTTGGGTTTTGGTTACTGTTTGATTGTCGATCGGATATCGCATAGTAGACGTTATTCAGGTTCGATATATTCGGACCATTGGATCGACTTCATTTTAAAATATGTTGATCTATGCACCTATAGGATCTTGTAGAAATTCACGAATCGAGAATCGGAGTCCCGGATATTCCGATTCAATATTTCAAACTTTAGATAAAATATAATCGTCCGATTGTGCGATCGCGAGTGATCCGACCATTTGATTTGGACCAAACTTTCAAGGCATATTTAGTAAAGTGTGATGAACCTATAGGAAATCTCGAATTGGTAATCAGAGGTTGTGGACCCCACGTGGTACCTGATTGAATTGTTGCTATTTTCTTCTTCCACAATGACAATATAATATAGGCAGTTATGATCATATAATATACGGATTCCGTTAGATTCATGATAAGGACGTTCTCTGTTCACTGTGAGCTTCGGACCAACAGCTAAGTCTGTGATTTCCACGTGTAAGGAAGGGTTTTAATATCAGATAACGAGTTGAGAAAAGAATGAGGCTAAATAGAGTTTTTGCTTAAGATGGTATTACTTAATTGATTAAATGTCTCAATTCTTAAACTTGAGTTGATTTTGAATAAAATGGAACTAAGTACTCCTCCATCTTCTCGCAAGGGCTTGTAACTCAAGTAGTTGAAAGCAATTACTCATATGCCCGAGATTTCGTATTCGAATCCTCTTCTCTCCAATATCATGTGTGAAAAACTTTTCCATCTCCAATATCATGATGATGATAGAGGAGAATGCCTAAAGGGAAGAGAAATAAGAGAAAATGGGATGTGGGAGAGAGAAGAGAAAAGATTAATTTGATATGAATTTCTCAATTTACCCTTAATTTTTATAAAAAATCTAATATGATTTATGGAAAGACCAATGATGCAACGTGAGATGAAATTGGAGGACGACAGTAATAAATTTTTGAGTTGAGGGACGAAAAGTAAAGTGGGGGTCTTATTTGAGGGACTATTGCTACAATTTTGCTTACAAAAAATTGAGTTAGTCCTAATGTGAGGTCCAGTTCTTCTCAAGGACTACCTCGATTTGCTCGTTCCATACAATTTGGGTGAGAATAGACTATATTTTCTAAGGTTTCAATTTTCAAGTTCCTCTTGGTTTGTGGGAAAATTTTACTTAGGGCCTGTTTGGGAGTGCTTCTCGAAGTGCTAAAAGTGCTTCTGATTGCGATAAATAAAAAAAAATAAAAAAAAAAAAAAGAGTCTTCGATCTTTCTGGAATCGCTTTTTGAAGAAGCACTTGCTATGTGATTATTCAGGAAGCACTCCCAAGTGCTTTTCCAAGAAGCTTGGATTTCTTGTGAAAGATTCAACATCTTTATAATAAAAGTGCTTATGAACATATGTTATTCCTAGAGAAGCAGTCTCAAACAAGCCCTTAATAAGTTAATCATAGAAGTTCTCCAGCCTAGTTATTGATTGATTGGTGACAAATAATAGATGATGATAATGGTTTTTCACCAAGGGGAAGGTCATTTGATCAGTATTTTTTAATTTGAAATGTTAGAAAAATGGCAGTTTTAACTTCGTAATGAAGGTTATCATTGCAGCAGTACGAGAGACTCGCATGGGTGCCATAGTTTTCAATTTTCATGCTAACCCGCCAACCCAAATGTAATCACTAGAGGCGGGCATTGGGACTGAAAAAGCTGAATACCAAATCGGATTGGATGGAAAAAAAATCAAGTAAAAAAATCAATTGACTAAAAAGTTAATAAATTGGCACTGAACTAGACCAAAGGGTTCCAATCGATTTCAATTTTGGTTTCACACCACACCAAATTAGACCGTACCAGAATGGACCAGTTGTGTAATTTTTTTTATTTTATACAAAATTATTGAATTCTGATGCTACATTTTTAATCTCATGACTAATCCCCAAGCCCAACTTCAAAACATCTCTCTTTTTTAGGCCTAATATATCTTTTTGTATGAGATTGGATTATTTATTAATTTTCAAGCCCAAAAAATAAAAAAATTTGTTTGAATTGTGTGTATAAAAAAAAAAAAAAATTTCATCAGCAAAAAAAAAAAAAAAAAAAAAAAAAAAAAAAAAACAAGAAACCGGTTCAAACTTAGACAAAAAAAAAATTTAAATTAAAAAAAACACAAAAACTGAATTGGACCGGTTAAATAATATCATTTCCAGTTTGATGTGAAAATCAGACCGCACCCACCCATAATAATCACTATTTTATAAATAAAAATAGAAAAACAATTACTTGATTAAATTATAA